TTGAATGAAGGGGTGCCATCTTAGGGGGGGCTGGCCCTGGTGGACACAGTGGATCTTTTAAAATCCATTCATAGGATCTGGGCATTACTAGCTAGGCCATCACTTATTTCTCATCCCCAGTTGCCCAGAGGGCAGTTGAGACTCAGCCACATTGCTGTGCATCTAGAGTCACATATAGGCCAGACTGGGCAAGGATGGCAGTTTCCTTCCTTAAAACAAAATGGGTTTTTTTCCTGGCAATCAACCACAGTTTCCTGGTCATCCTTAGACTCTTAATTCCAGATTTTTTAAAAATTGAATTCAAATTCCATCATCTTCAATCATGAAGGGATTCGAGCACAGGTCCCCAGGACATTACCCAGCTAGTCCGGATTAATAGTTTAGCAATAATACCACCAGTCCATCGCGCCTACTTCCCCCAAATGGACCCCCCAAAAAAGGTACCCCATTGTTACCCAGCAGCCTGAGCAGATTGAAAAACTGTGGCAGAGACGAATGAGGCCCTTCAGTTAATTGTCCATTTAAAGGCTTCAATCAGCCTAAGGGAGCCAGGCTGCCTCTTACCTTTCCCGCCCCCTGGAATAGCGGAGACAGGTTGAAGATGGATGGGGGGAAAATGGCCGTCTGACAAGTCACCTTCAAATACACCAGTGTGGGACTGTAAAATTCATCTCATTGTGTTCAAATCCCACCAAAGCAACAGGTCAACTTACAATATAATTAATTAGTCTGCAGTTAAACAAAAACTATTCGTAATGGTGACTGAAGCTATTGGATAATTATAAAAGCTCACGCAGTTCACATAATGCCCTTCAGGGAAGGAAATCTGGCATCACGACCTGGTGTGAGTCAGGCCCAGAGCAGTGTGGTCAACGTTTCACTGCCCACTGAAATGGCCTAGTGAGCCACTCATTAAGAGCTCAATGTTCTGAAGGGTGAGGAAAATCTGCTGCCTTTGCCAATGACGCTTATATCCCAAGAAATTATAAAGAAAAACCTTCTAGGAACACAAATCAATCATATGCAGTAATTAAAACAGAAACTGCTGGAAAATATCAATGCGTCAGTAGGTCATTTAGAAGAGTGAGAGGCGACCTTATTGGAACATGCAAGATTCTCAGGAAACTCGAAATGGTACGCGTGGGAAGGTTGTTCCCTGTAGGACGAAACGGCATCGTCTCAGAATAAGTGGTCACACATTTAAGATTGTGATGAGGTGTAATTTCTTCTCACCAAAGGTAGTGAATCTATGGAATTCTTTATCGCAGAGGGTTGTTGAGGCTAGGTCATTAAATACATTCAGCAATCATAGACAGATTTTTATTCAATAAGGAAATCAGGGGTTACAGGTGAAAGTGGAGTTGAGAATTATCAGATCAGCCATGATCTTATTGAATAATGGAGCAGAATCGATGGGCTGAATGGCCTACTCCTGCTCATGCATTTTATGGTCTTATGGTCAGGCAGCATCTGTGAAGAGAAAACAAAGTTAATGTCCAATATGACTCTAACTGATCTGGCCTACATGTGACTTCAGACACACAGCAATGTGATTGACTCTTAAACTGCCCTCTGACCAATTAGGGATGGGAAATAAATGCTGGTGTGGCCATCCCGTGAATGATTTTTTAAAAAAATCCCATGCCCAATTTTTGACTTGAAATGTTAACTCTGTTTCTGTCCCCACAGATGCAGCCAAGTTTCTCCTGCACTCTGTCTTTATTTCAGATCTCCAGTAACTGTAGTATGATGCTGTCCTTCAAGTGCAAGCAGTCTGCTCTCAATAATTTAACCTTTTAAGCCATCCTGTAATTGAAATGAATCTACCCTGCTTCCCATCCAACATGTTTCCTGAGCTCTAGGGTTTAAAACTGAATGCAAAACTTCAGGTGGGATTTGACCAGGACTGTGTGCAATTGAGGCATCTCACCCTCCCTTGTGAATTCCTACCCTCTTGTGGTGAGAGCAATCATTTTATTAATGGATTTGAAGTGACCAAAGAGATTAGTTTCCTCGTGCAAGTGTCCAGAACAAGGGGACAGGACAATCAGAGCTAGGCCGATCATGGGTGAAATCAGGAGCACTTGCTCACATGAAGGGTAGGAAATATGTAACTATCATCCTGCCCCCTCCAAAAAACCAAACACCAGGGGTTGATTGAGAGATTCAGAACGAAGATGAGTGGAATCTTGTTAGGCAAGGGCATCAAATGTTACAAAATGAAGATGGATAAAAGAAGTTAAGAGACAGGTCGGCCATGATCCAATAACAGGATTGGTTGGAGGGAGTGAATGTTTTGTGACTGCCCTTTGTACCCGTGCACTAACGTTTCATGGTTTGTGCACCTAGACGCCAAAATCCTTCAGTCCCTCCACAATTCCTCATCAGCATTTGGGGAAGCAATCACCGAGTCGTATTACCGCTGGACTGTTAATCCAGAGACCAGGTAATGTTCTGGAGACCTGGGTTCGAATCCTGCCATGGCAGACGGTGGAATTTGAATTCAGTGAATATCTAGAATTAAGAGTCTAATGATAACCATGAACCCATTGTTGATTGCCAGAAAAACCTATCTGGTTCACTACTGTCCCTTAGGGAAGGAAACTGCCATCCTTAACTGGTCTAGCCTACATGTGACTCCAGACCCACAGCAATGTGGTTGACTGTTAACTGCCCTCTGGGCAATTAGGGATGGGCAATAAATGCTGCCTAGCCAGTGATGCCCTCATCCCATGAATGAATGAAGGAAAAAAACATTTTGAACATTCCCTGATTAATCTTTCAAAGTGGATGACCCCACCATGAAATCCAAGGATCAGATTTCCCTACAGTGACTGCTCCAACACTTTGAAGTATCTCTTCAAAGGGAAACAGTTCACCTAGATAAAAACATTGCAAACCTGTCGCTTTGAAAACGTTGTTCTACACAACGTGGAGCTCAGTGGGAGTCACTGAAGATTCCTGACTATCTCCTGTGCTCACAAACATTGCTAATGGGCACTCCAATTACAGTACCATCACTCACTATCATTACTTACTTTTCTCTATGTAAGTTTCACAAAAATCTGGAAAGTTTTCACCAAAAGATTCTTGATGCTGAGTCAATTAAATATGTTTATGACTGAGATCAATCCATTTTTGTGAGGAGAAAATATAAAGGTACATCAGGTAAATGGAGTTAAAGTATACAGCGATCCTGATCTCATGGAAAGTTACTGCAGGCTCAAGGCCTGCTATCCATCCTATGTTCATAGTTACTTTGCAAAATCATTGCTTTACGAATAAATTATTTAAAAGTTCCAATCATAATTTTCCCTAAACACCGCTATTAATGGAGTAGGCCCGACTCCATCAAAATTGCTGGGGTTTGGGGGGCAGAGGGTGGGATTTGAATGGGCATTGAATGAAAAGAACAATGGGTGACAGTGCTGTGAGATGGTGAGCTATCCTCACTCTCATCCTATGCCAACGGAAATTGCCGGAAACTAGAATGGAGGGGTGGGAATATGCCAGAATTGCTGGTGTCGCCCAGGGCCCAGAATGGGATGATTCACCAGGGAGCTAACACACAGAGATTGAGTTTCCATGGAGCTCCCACTGCTGATTAGACTGAGGATCACAGCCAAGAGCAGGCTCTCTGACTGACTGGGAGCAGCATTAGGATCAATGATTCCTGCCCCTTGCACCTGGTTTCACTCACCATTTTTCAAATGCCTCCTGACAGGGCCCAAATCCATGGAATCTGCACTGTAATCTCTGCTGACCTCCACCCCATCACAGGGCCCTCTCTTCTGTTCCATCCCTCAACCTTTCATTGACGGACTTGCTAAAAGTCTGATAAATCTTGAATATCGTAGAATCATAGAAACCCTACAGTGTAAAAACAGGCCATTTGGCCCAACAAGTCCACACGACCCCTCCAAACAGCATCCCACCCGGAGCCATTCCCCTACCCTGTCCCTGTAATCCGACATTTCCCATGTCTAATCCACCCAACCTACACGCCCCTGGACACTATGGGCAATTCAACATGGCCAATCCACCTACTCTGCACATCCCTGGACTGTGGGAGGAAAATACAGTACTTGAAGGAAGCCCATGCGGACACGGGGAGAATATGCAAACCCTAATCCCTGGCGCAGTGAGCCCCCATGCCACCCAATAATAACTGGAAGTCCAATACCAAGCAGTTTGCTTCCCAGCTTTACTGGGGCTTTTCCCTTCCTTTTCTTTTTAACCCTCTCTAGGGGGCATTTGTGGAAGGTTTACCAATCACATGTAACAGTGGGATGAGACTTCTATCTGACAGTTTCCCAAAACCCAATCCATTTCTCTGGTTTAAGGATTGTAGAGCTCTTTGTTTTCGACAGGAAAGTCATTGAGCTGAAACATTAGCTCTTTGTCTCACTCTGCACATGCTGCAGAGTTTTGTGGGTTTTTTAAAAATACAAGTTTTGAGTATCCCCAATATTGTGTCTTTGTAATGACTCATGGATGACCAGAGAACATGTAGACAGTTGAGCAGCATGGACAGCCTTAGTCCTGGGCTGCAGCCTTAGTGCAGATATTAGACACACACAAGTGGGCATCTACTCTCTCTGTTGAAGTTATAAAGAAAGCTTGACACATCAGAAGATGAAGAACAGCACTACCCTTGCTGGGATAGGTTTTTTCTTTATTCATTCATGGGATGAGGGCGTTGCTGGCCAGGCAGCATTTATTGCCCATCCCTAATTGCCCAGAGGGCAGTTAAGAGTCCACCACATTGCTGTGGGTGTGGAGTCACATGTAGTCCAGACTGGGTAAGGATGGCAGTTTCCTTCCCTAAAGGGCATTAGTGAACCATTTGGGTTTTTCCAACACTTGGCAATGGATTCACGGTCATCATTAGATTTTAATTTAGATTTTTTTTTATTCAATATTTTCAATTCAGTTCAAGTATGGATAACCATACTTTGAAGCTGGCATCTATTAATTGTTCTTTTCTTCTTTCCCAACAGTCTGCAGAATTCTTTGAAATGCTGGATAAGATGCAGGTAGGTGATTCTTTGTACTAAAGACCCACTACTACCGGGCAAAATGGCATATCTTACCAGGGAGTGTCATAATTGCAATAAGATTTAACTAATGTGATTAGAGCAGACCAATAAATTAGCCAATCAAATACTGAAAAAAGGTTGATCTGTGTGGCACAAACTGTAAAGAAGTAGGTTTGTCCAGGAGGTCCCATGTTTAAGTCTCGCTGCTCCCGAGGTGCTTAATAATACAGAATCCTCACATCCCTGAACAGGCCATTTAGAACATACGGAGAAACAGGTTTCGATTCTTCAGATAGGTCGACGCTGACGGACATGTGAAACGCACCAAACCTGGGCACTGTTGTCATGGTAACAGGCCATATTTTAGGTCATATGATAAAAAGGACAAAATGTAAGTCTGGATCTTGAAGGTGCAATGCGGGGCTAATCCCTGGCGGCTCAGATAACAGCAACTTGTGTGTATGCAGTGCATTTAACATCATAAAACATCCGAGGTGGTTTGCCAGGGACATTGTAAAATGAAACGTGACACTGAGCCACGTAAGGAGGTACTTGATTGGATGATGAAAAGTTTGGTCAGAGAGGTGTGCCTTAAAGACTATCTTTAAAGTGAAGGAGAAAGGCAGGAAGCAAGAGAATCCTAGAATTCCTACAGTGTGGAAGCAGGCCATTCAGCCCATTGAGTCCACACCGACCATCCAAAGACTCCACCCAATCCCTATAACCCTGATTTCCCATGGCAACCCACTACCCTGCAGAACTTTGGACTATGGAAGGAGACCGGAGCACCCGGAGGAAAGCCATGTAGATACAGGGAGAATGGTGCAGATTCCACTACAGACAGTAGTCCAGGCTGGAACTGAACCCAAGTCCCTGGCGCTGTGCGGTAGCAGTGCTAACCGCTGAGCCACTGTGCCACCATGTTACAAAGAACCCAGGAGAAAGTTTACCCTGAAATGAACCCTTTCTTGCACGGAGTACACTACATTACCCTTTTGCTTCTTTCAAATTTGCACTTAGTCAAGACTTCACTCCTGCTTATAAAGCCTCTCCCATACGCTTTCCAACAATTTAAATCCTCTGCTGATAAATACTACAAAAATAATCTGAAGGGCCCAAGGCCATTGTGTTCTATTTTATCCTTTTTGGCTGAAATTGTCTTAAATGATCCTTTTCAGTCATTACCAAACCCTCAACAAAATAATCTGGACTGGAGTGTTAATATGAAACCCAAGCTATACTCTTAGTGAACAAATACACCTATGCACATTGGTAAATGGACGGACACAGATAAGCACTCTGATACAAAGGCACACAAACACATCCAGAAACGTGTACAAACACCACGAAATAGGTGGTTCATGTACAGAGATGCAAATGTATACAAAGACACACAGAGACAACCAAACCTAAACAGATATAAATGTTCACAAATGCATTTAAATATACCACATACAGATTTCACACAGACATATGCTCTTGAGCACTGAATACTATGCAACAGCTATAACCCTTATTCTATTCTTTTTTGCTTCCTCTTGGTATCTGCTCAGAGGGTTGGTTCGCCCGAATGACTCCCCAGCTGAGATCAGTGAGCTGACCACACACCAAGAGTGGGAGTGGGGCCAGAGCTCCCAAGTGTGTCAGGTTAATTAACACATCAGCTAACAGAGTTAGTCAGTGACGCCCATGAGGAGCTGCTGTTTCAGTTTTCATCAAAGAAATACGAGAGGAATTTGTTGTCTTTTCATTTGCAATGTATTTTTCACAGCGTACTGATAAATTCAGGTCACTGCACCTGATAATAGCCAAGGAGATAGCAAGAACTGCAGATGCTAGAGTCAGAAACAACGCAGTGTGGAGCTGGAGGAGCAAAGCAGGCCAGGCGGCAGGAATCCGAAATGTCAACTTTCCTGCTCCTCTGTTACTGCCTGGCCTGCTGTGTTCCTCCAGCTCCACACTGAATAGCCACGGAGACACATTTCACTTGTGTGTGGGTTCCTTCAAACTGAAATGAAGCAGTAAGATGGCCATTTTCTCGTATTACTACTCTTGTCCAGTAAACATATGAAGATTTTTGCATTACTGCAACTATTTACAGGTTACATGAATATAACCAACATTCATGTTACAGTTGTATAGGACTTTGGTTCGACCACATTTGGAATACTGCGTACAGTTCTGGTCGCCACATTACCAAAAGGGTGTGGATGCTTTGGAGAGGGTGCAGAGGAGGTTCACCAGGATGTTGCCTGGTATGGAGGGCACGAGCTATGAGGACAGGTTGAGTAGATTAGGATTATTTACATTAGAAAGATGGAGGTTGAGGGGGGACCTGACTGAGGTCTACAAAATCATGAGAGGTATAGAGAGGGTGGACAGCAAGAAGCTTTTTCCCAGAGTGGGGGACTCAATTACTAGGGGGTCACGATTTCAAGGTGAGAGGGGAAAAGTTTAAGGGAGATATGCGTGGAAAGTTCTTTACGCAGAGGGTGGTGGGTGCCTGGAACACGTTGCCAGCGGAGGTGGGAGAGGTGGGCACGACAGCGTCATTTAAGATGTATCTAGACAGATACATGAATGGGCAGGGAGCAGAGGGATACAGATCCTTGGAAAATAGGCTACAGGTTTAGATAGAGGATCTGGATCGGCGTAGGCTTGGAGGGCTGAAGGGCCTGTTCCTGTGCTGTAATTTTCTTTGTTCTTTGTTCTTTGTTCTTTATTGCTAAACAGACTGTTAGCAGAGCACACAAATCTGTCCTCTACAAACGCCTTCCTTACTCTGATCAAGTCCCCACAATGTCAGCACGATCAGAAGGGTTTACCACACTTCATCAGGTATTAACCCTTTCAGAACCATACACTGTACCTCAGCTTCCAAAGTGTTGCTGTTCCTTTTAAGATGTACAAGTAACACATATTCAGCAGTCCCACAGATGGCAAAATCAAACAGACAGCTAACACTTCCCCCGCCTACTGCCTATCCTGTTTGCTTGTAATCAGTTAATAAGCAATAATCTCCTGGAGAGAGTGCACAGTGAGGGAAGGTACTTCTCACAGTTTATCCATTTTAACAGAATTTTAGAACAGTTGGGGACACAGAAAAGTGTTCTGCATGAGCTTTGAGACAATTTCTACAGTTTTACATTCAGGAGATTAAACCCCATAGCAGTGCAAAGCA